AGTCTGCCATGAAAATAACTTTCATTCTTCCAGTATCTTCTCCAGTATCTCAACCAAATTCAGACATGCCATCTACAGCATAAATCACTCTATTAAAATGTCACTAAAGGCAAAACTTTTTTTATTCATTTTTAATGGTAAGAGATCTGTGTGGCATTGAGGATATTTCCATTCACTTCCCGTGAGAGGAAATCCCTCTAAAGTGGGGGAATACTGATGTGTCACCAAGGTTTATCAAAACTAATGTTCCCAATGGAATATTTCCACTCTGTTAGTGTTCTGATGTCAATCCAAAATTTGGGATTTTCTTTTATGTTCACTATCGATGATAACAGTAAACAGGACAAATAGAGTGAGTGAATCTCCCTAATGGGGGCACAGGCGACAGTAAAAACCTGACAATTGTTCTAATCCCTCTCCACTCGATCCAAAACTAAAAAACTAAATAATAAAAATTTTGCCTTCAGTTACACTTTAATGTTAGTAAAAATAAAAAATACTGCAAGAACTAGGACAATTTATCTTACATTACTGGTATTGTGTTGCAAATACTAACAAACACTTGCCTACCAATTCCAATACTACTACTACAAAAAGAATAATAAAGAACAATAAATAAATTAAATAAATAGTACATGGTTTTGGATCTACTGTGGAGTGAGTAATGTAAAGCTATATGTGAGATCCAAGCAGACTATTTTACCACAGAGATGAGAAAAACATTTATACGATAAATTATTTCTGCTACACTAGCACAGAAACGTATGATTGCAATACAAAGTGAGGTATTTTCAATGATGTTATTTTTTTAAAGCTGTGAGCTGTTAAGATTGAAATTAATTTTGGAAATTCTGGAGCATGGGCGAGATTTTTTTAATGTGGTTTGAGGATAAGCAGTTTAGCTCTGAATCTGCTATAACACCTGCTGCTCAGAGACTTATTGACTGTCTGCCACCTTGTCGTTTGTATTAAGTTGTTGTTTGGACATCTGAAGAGCCTGGGGAAAAGAAGGCATAAAGCAACTAAAGTCTTGTTATTACCGCCTGCAGAAAACCACTTGCTGTTTTTCCCGATACCTTCTTCAGCTACATGCAGGCGAACTTACACATTGTGAGCATAGTCAATGCACTACTAGGGAGCGACCAGTGCCGTGAACTGAAGTTGTTTGGGAAATGGGGGCAGCAGTGTAGGGAATTAACTTTTAGCCTTAAATTTCCAGTTAATTACTCTATACTCACTTGCCAGCTAACCAGAATTTTTTTAGCATCTCAGTTCTCAGGACCTTAGTTACATAGTTGGTCTGGCTGAAAAAAGACAAACATCCATCCAGTTCAACCATAGAAAAAAAAAAAGTTATAATCCTATACCAACAGTTGATCCAGAGGACGGCAAAAAAAACCCAGCAAAGAACGATCCAATTTGCTCCTGCTGGGAAAAAAAGTTCACATTGGATTAAGAGAGGTTTTTGGACTATTGATTGATTGGACTTATATTTCTTTTGGACATTTATTATTTATTTTTATTTATTTTGATATATTTATATTCATTTGGGAATATTTTGATAGGGTTGGAATAGGATTTATCAGTATTAGGTATTTGATATGAGTTTTAACAGTTAGGTGGAAGAAAAGGTTGATTATTATTGTATCTACTTTCAAGGGCGAAAGTGTCACTTTTTCTTTAAGGGGTAATCAGAGTGAGTATTTAACTTAGTGTAAGGTGTGTCGAGATATTGGTATTTACCTATGGTTGCTAGAAATGTCTAGAAACCAATCACCAGCTTGTCAACTTGAAAAGATAGATAGCTCCAACCTGCTGGCTGGACATGCCGTGCCTTCTGCTTTCTGTAAAGATGAATACTGTGGCAATGGGGGGGGGGGGGGCGGATGGCTTCAGAGGACATCCAGGCTGCTAAGTGTCAGAGCCTCGGTCTGTATAGGACTGTTATTCGCTCCATTTGTGGACCACGGTCCTCCATTTAGTGATGACTGGTCTATGGTGACTGCTTGACTTTAGCATCATAGTTGTTTTTTTGTTGTTATTGCCAGTGAGCGTGTGTGTGTGTAGAAGGCATGATTCATTAATCTCTTTTATATTCCTATGAATATGTACCTCAGCGCCATGAACTTGTGTAGAGTTATTCACCCTTAGGTCATCACAGAGGACAAGGGGGCACTCTTTACGTCTGGAGGAAAAGAGATTTAATCTCCAAATATGGAAAGGTTTCTTCACAGTAAGAGCTGTGAAAATGTGGAATAGACTCCCTCAAGAGTTGGTTCTGGCCAGCTCAGTGGATTGCTTTAAAAAAGTCCTGGATTCTTTCTTAGATACATAGAATATAAATGGATATTAACATTTATAGGTAAAGTTGATCCAGGGAATATCCAATTGCCTCTTTGAGGATCAGGAAGGAATTTTTTCCCCTGTAGGAGCAAATTGGATCATGCTTTGCTGGGTTTTTTTGCCTTCCTCTGGATCAACTGTGGGTATAGGATTATAACTTGTTTTTTTTTGTGTTGAACTGGATGGACTTTCATCTTTTTTCAGTCAGACTAACTATGTAACTATGAATTGGCTGAGGGAGATGGAAGTTATTTCAACTGCAGAAAAAAGGAAGATTTTTTTCAGGAAATTTAAGGAACGAAGTAAGCATTAGATATTTTCTTGAACCCATTTTGTGTAACTAGTATACTGATCCTGACAGTAAAATATCTGTAGGCAATTATAGGGTATTAAGCTGAAAAGAGGGTTTGTATATTCCAGGGGTACTGAATTTTAAAATTTTAACCAGAAGAGGTCTGAGTGTCATAACTCAGATCCTTCACATCACTGCCTCCCGTGCACATCACAGTTCCTCCCTCCACTCCCCTTTTACATCACAGACCACCCCTTCACAGCCCCCTATCACTGACATCCCATCACAGACTCCCTCCATCACTGACTGCTCCATCACAGACTGTCCCATCACAGACACCTTATCACAGACCCTGCTTATCACAGATCACATCCATGACCGACTTCTCAGCACAGACCCCCGTCATCACAGATCCCCTCCATCATAGATCCCTCATCACAGATCCCCTCATCACAGACCCCTCATCACAGATACCCCTCATCACAGATCCCCTTCATCACAGATCCCCCTCATCTCAGATCCCCTCATCTCAGATCCCCTCATCACAGATCCCCTTCATCACAGACCCCCCTCACCGCAGACCCCCTCATCACAGATCCCTCTATCACAGATCCCCTCATCCCAGACCACCCTCATCACAGATCTTCTCATCACAGACCCCCCTAATCACAGATCCCCTTATCCTAGATCCCCCTCATCACAGATCCCCCTCATTGCAGATCCCCTCATCCTAGATCCCCCTCATCATAGATCCCCCTCATCACAGATCCCCTCATCACAGACCCCCCTCATCACAGACCCCTTCATCACAGATCCCCTCATCACAGATCCATCCATCACAGATCCCCTCATCCCAGACCCCCCTCATCACAGATTCCCCACATCACAGATCCCCCTCATTACAGATCCCCTCATCCTAGATCCCCCTCATCACAGATCCCCTCATCCTAGATCCCCCTCATCATAGATTCCCCTCATCACTGAACCACCTCATCATAGATCTCCTCATCACAGATCCCCTCCATCACAGACCCCCCTCATCACAGACCCGCTCATCACAGACCACCCTAATCACAGACCCCCCCCCCAATCACATACCCCCCATCACAGACCCCCAATCACAGAGCCCCCACATAACAGACACCCCATCACAGATTGCCTCATCACAGTCCTCCCTGCATATTACAGATTCCTGTCCCTTTCATAATATGAAGCACTTATTCACACAAGACAGCAAGCACAGCAGGTCTTGACATAGGGCAAGTTTATAGTCCTAAGATTATCAGAAGTTTTAATGGAGCAGCTAACAGCAATGATGTCCCGTGATAGGTTACTTAAATACATTTTTCTCATTTTTCTCTCTTTGTTGTAGCTGCTCTCTCAGCACCATCTGTTGTGGAACTATAAGTCCCAGCATAACTTAAATTTGTAAATAAATTTGCTGCTGATTTAATTTATCACATGCTTTAAAAGATTTCTGCATTTGTAAGTTTTGCATGTTATATACATTATATATTATATGTTATGATATATTATATGTTATATATATTGTATATTATATTATAAATATATTCTTCAGATTTTTTTTAACATATAAAAAAGTCATTTTTACATATATTTGTAAAAGAACTCCAAAAATGTAGATTTGTATTTTTAAAGATAGACACTAGACAGTATATTTGAAATGTATTTTGAAAAATATTTTGTATATATTTTGTAATAAAAACGCATTTCAACATGCAGTATATATATATATATATATTGAATATGGCCACAATTGGAGCACTTCAAATATATATTAATATATTTGGAAAGAATATTCTTAAAATATATTTCAAATATACTGTTTTTTTTCTTCCACGTGCGTATGAAACTTTGGATAGATTGCGTCACTACTTTAAGGAGTACTAGAGGCATACGATACTTGCTTAGTCATAATGCCATTTCGTGGGAGATAAACTGTTCATGTGTTTAAAAGTTAACAAAATTGATGTAGTTTTGTTTCCAAACAGATCTTCTTGTTTTAGATGTGATCTCTTATTCTGATCAAAGCCACTGGAGGAATGTAACATCAGTAACTCTTGAAGACAGCAAGTACATTAAAGATCATATAAGGAAGTGGAAGAATTCAAAATTCAAGCACCCATTTAAATCCAAATTTGTGACAGTGACATTTTCAGTTTCCAGAGCAGTCATGGTTTGAGTGAGATTAGCAGGAGTGTTATTCAAATACCGTATTTTGCGCTCCATAAGACGCACTTTTTTACCAACCAAAAAAGTGGGGAAAATGTCAGTGCATCTTATGGAGCGCATATGGAGCAGCCGGTCCGGTATTCCCACCGCCGCCGCCATGTCAGAATACCGGGCCGGCCGCTCGTCTCTTCTCTGCAGCAGGACCTTACCTGTTCTCGGTCCTCGGTCCAGCGCTGCGAAGGCTTCCCGCGTCGGCATCTTTAGTATGGGCTCTTGGCTGTGACAGCCGGGTGCCCACACTGAAGGGACTACTACTCTGAGGAAGTAGAAGTGGGTACCTGTCAAATTCAGGTACCCGTTCCCCCTCCCTCCCCAAAGGTCCGCATTCTCTTAGTCATCCCCTGTACTGTCTGCAGTCTCTGGTCATTTCCTGCAGCGTGTCCGCAGTCTCTGGTCATCCCCTGCACTGTCCGCAGTCTCTTGGTCATCCCCTGTACTGTCCGCAGTCTCTGGTCATCCCCTGTACTGTCCACAGTCTCTTGGTCATCCCCTGTACTGTCCGCAGTCTCTTGGTCATCTCCTGTACTGTCCGCAGTCTCTGGTCATCTCCTGTACTGTCCGAAGTCTCTGGTCATCCCCTGCACTGTCCACAGTCTCTGGTCATCCCCTGCACTGTCCGCAGTCTCTGGTCATCCCCTGCACTGTCCGCAGTCTCTGGTCATCTCCTGTACTGTCCGCAGTCTCTGGTCATCTCCTGTACTGTCCGAAGTCTCTGGTCATCCCCTGCACTGTCCGAAGTCTCTGGTCATCTCTTGTACTGTCCGCAGTCTCTGGTCATCCCCTGCACTGTCCGCAGTCTCTGGTCATCCCCTGCACTGTCCGCAGTCTTTGGTCATTTCCTGCATTGTCCGCAGTCTCTTTGTCATCCCCTGTACTGTCTGCAGTCTCTGGTCATCCCCTGCACTGTCTGCAGTCTCTGGTCATCTCCTGCAGTGTGTCCGCAGTCTCTGGTCATCCCCTGCACTGTCCTGCGGGTATAGCTGTAAAACAGTAAATATAAGTTGCTGTATTGTTTAAATCCAGTAGTACACTGTCTCACCCTGTTCTGCACATGCTCAGCTCTCTTTTTTTTGGCACTGATGAAAATCTAGAGGCCGATCTGCTGACAGTCTAAAAATGTACTGCTGCTCAGGGGCTCTGGGCTTCAACAAAATGGCAGCCTTCATCAAGAAGAAACAGCAGCAATTCTGGGGGCAATTTACAGTACACACTAATTTTGGCAGTGTAATTATTCATCTGGTATTTATATTCCTTGCTAATGAGTATTATTTTATCACGTTGTTATGGGTAAAGTTCTGGGTGTGTTCAATCACTATAAATAATTGTTTTTTCCTTTTTGAAGGCAAGAGAAAGTGGGGAGGTTTAATGTAATGAATCTGACATTTTATTAAGAATGTATGGTATTGATGCTTTGTAAGATACATTATGTTATATATATCTTGACATTTTGCATGAAGTGGGCCAAGAACTCTTATTTATCTAATAAGGCATACTTGGAAAAGAAAGCAAGATATATGTGTGTGTATAGATTTATTTATTTTTATATATTTATTTGTCCAACCAGGTTAGAAAGGAATTGGAGATTCAGAATTTTTTTATGTTTCCTTTTATTTTTAATATTATGTTTTTTTTAATAATTAATGTTTTATGAAATTGGAGAAGTCAAAAGTAAAGCCACACTAATTCAAATTAGGACTCTGATTTAGATAGTATAGCAACGACTGTCAGAAAATAACCCATGCTGACTATTATAGTACTACTGTGCTATTTTTTGTGCAGGGATGGACAAAAATGTAAACGGTTTTGGCCTTAGTAGACTTTGTGGGAAGACTTCAGAATTAAAGCTAATGAAATATCTGGATTATATTGATGGTATGACATGACCAAGGTAATAGTGACTGTTAGGTGGAGCCACGGTTAAAAAATTATATGAGTTTTACATTTATTGTATAGGAAATGGTGTAGGTAAGGAGCTAGGAAATAAAATGAAAGAGCATAATCTATTTAAAATACTTCCTACTGAAAACATGTACTTCAAGGGATGTATACTGATAATATGGAGGAATATTCTAAGAGTACTGTATTGTTATAAAACTGTATAGATATATATATATTATATTATATTATTTTAGTGGATGTTATAAGAGTAAAATTAACTATTGCTTTACAGGTAGCCCCGAGAAACTTACCAGAGACTACATGTCCAGACACTGACATCTTTTTTAAAGTTTTATTTATTTTTTATTTTTTTAATACTATAATTTATAAAGTGTATTTTATATCCAGAAAAATATCAAATGATCACAGAAGATATGATATAACTTGCTATTGTTGTTAAATGCTACACAGGAAGGATTTCATGCCATAAAGGAGGAACTAAGAAATCAGATACTTGTATTATTGAAGAACAGGTATTCACTGAACTTTTTTTTTTACAGCATCCAAAGGAGCTTGTACCATGATACTGGACCAACGAATGATGATGAAGGAGGAGATCTCTCCAGAGCCATCAACTACTTGGCTAAGTTGAAAGACCATATGCTAGAAAAGGCAGGACCTTATGGGACTGCATCTGCTGAATGGTCCCTGGAACAACTTAGTTGGTGTTGGTCACTAGCTAAGCTGATTGCTCCTCTTTCCAGTTATCCTTGATGTGCTGAGATGATATTGCTGAGTAACTGTTGTCTGTTGGAAGAGGTTTGTGGCAAAGATGATCATGCAATCACTGTTATGGATGTCCATACCTTCCATCTCACATATGGAAAACACTTTGCAGCCAAAGAAGAATATATAGTGTGTTTTTCCATGGGACTGATTTTTTTGCGTGTCAGGTGTCCATGCTTTATTTTGCTGAGATATCACTTAGAAAAACAACCCCTAGCATAACTGGCTGTGGCCATCTTGAGTATGGGCAGATGATTCATGCAGCATTTGCTTCCTGGAATCCATCTGCCCTTAGCTCAGGCATGTAGGCAGGAGGGTGTGCTTAGATGTGAAAATCGCTCCTCCCCTCCAAACAACTCCTGGGATTTATGACATAATTTGCCTAGGCATGGAAAACAGAAAGTAACTGAAGAAACATAAGAAAAATAATAGTTTAAAACAATTAAATATGATATACTTCCCTATCTATTTACTAATGCTAGCAACATAAGGATTAAAAATAGTCAATGTTGATTGAGAGAGCGAAGCACCATGTAGTTCTCTATCTTTTTGTGTCTATCCACTGGTGGGAAAGAGAAATGGAAAAGCTTGTTGGGGGAGAGAGGATCATATTTAAAGAGAGCAAGAATACCTTTTGCTTTGGGAAGAAGCTTGATTAAAAAGTATCCCAGATGAAGGGACACAAGTTATTTATGACCTTACATTTTGATTGTGGGTCATACATCTAAGGTGAGAACATAGTTGGCAGAGGGGTGTGCACAAGAGGTGTACAAGTGTATGTAAAGAGCACTATAAGAAGCACAAAAGCTTGAATGAGACTTTTTCACTTAAGGACTCTTTGCTGTGAAAAACTTTATTGTTTTTGTGAAATATTAAGTGTAAATTGGGACATGTATTAGAAGGGAACAGCACTACACTTTTTTGATATCTAAAGTACTATTCAAAAGTGAGATATGATATGAGCATTGGCAGCTGTAAGTGTTCTGCCTCTCCAATCTAAGCAAGTGGGATCTCTAACTACTCCAGTGAATGAAGTGTCTTATTCACAGCTGCAGTAGAATTTGCAGACAGTGACTCAATCCAAATGACCTCCATAGTTACATGGATACATAGTTAGTCTGGCTGAAAAAAGACAAATGTCCATCCAGTTCAACCATAGAAAAAAAAGTAATAATCCTATACCCAGAGTTGATCTAGAGGAAGGCAAAAAAAAACCCCAGCAAAGCATGATCCAATTTGCACCTGCTGGGAAAAAAATTCCTTCCTGATCCCCTGAGAGGCAATCGGATATTCCCTGGATCAACTTTACCTATAAATGTTAGTATCCAATTATATTCTGTGCAGCAGAATCCTCCAGCAGATCCTAGAAATGTTTTACTCTAAAACCAGTGAAGATCATACAAATGAACATCAGATAGGTAAAAAAAAACGTGTATAGCTCCAGCAGGATATTGTATATGTGAACAATAAAAATGGAGACTGAGCATGAAGAAGAAGGGAGGGACTAACTACATAGTACATGCCCTAGCTACAATGTGAGGTAGGGACAAAATTACAAAAGGAACAAACAGGACGGCACAAACGCCTAGTGCATTACCTATGATTTATTGTTCATAAACATAGATGCCAAATGAACACTCACAGAAGTGAAGAATAAAATCACATAAAAACCATAAGATGCCACAGCATAGGGAATCACACATAACTATGCACCCTGCTGGACTGGCAAGCTAACATGTTTCTGAGGCATACCTCCTTCCTCAGAGCAATGCTCACCAACATGTGTTAAACCCAGGTGTGTGTGTATATATATATATATTTATTTATTTTTATTTTTTAAACCATAAATTAAGTACCACTACCCGCGCTGTGGGAGGTGGAGTCACAGGTCATGTCAAAGGTCACCAATCAAAGAAAAACAAATATATACCATATATAAAATACTGCCAGGGATCACAATGCAGTGTGTCCCTGTATAGCCATGTGTATATGAGAACCATGACTGATAGCTTGTATAACAATCTATGAAGAATGAGTAAATGAGTAAATGTACTAACCAAATAACACTGCTTAGGAGAGTGATGACCAGTCAAAAAAAGAGATGTCAGTGTGGGCTCACACAGGAGACCTCCATGTGCAGAGATGTATCAGAGGGCGTCCATCATGGATGATGGTTGCTGGAATGCTAGCCAGAAGATCTCTACCTCTACTGAAAAACTTTAGATCTTCTCAGTAGCCTCCACTAAGAGGAGTGATGGTACAGCAATGGGTGCCACAGGTCCTGGCACCCCATCTGATAGCAGTACGCCACCTGTTGATTTCAGCAGGCAAATTTTGCTACCCCAGTTGCTGAACCGTAAGAAAAATACTGTATTACCCATCCACATGATCAGCATCTAAATTCTAGCCTTTCCAAATTGCTAGCATTACAACTGCTGCCTTTCCATCTGGTGGACTCTGCCCCCTTCTGTGAATTTGCAGAATTTGCTATACCACAGTTAGCAGGTTCCCTAAAAAGGCAATTCTGTTCATGTAAGGCCATTCCAGCTCTGTACCGTCATGTGGAAGGCAATGTTTTGGCCTCGCTGGACAGAGCGGTTAGCAGCAAGGTCCACATTACTGCTAACAGGTGGTCCAGCAGGCATGGTCAGGGATGTTACATATCCTTCATGGCGCACTGGGCAACTCTGCTAGCAGCTGGGAAGGATGCAGGACAGGGTTCAGTGCTGGAGCTTGTTCCGCCACCATGCCACCAAAAAACTAGTGGTGATTCTGCCACATCTTTCTGTTCCATCCCCTCCTCTTCCTCTGCCTCTATGGCCGCTTCTGCTGAATTGTCGTCTGAACTAGCAGTGCTCCGTAAGCAGTCAAGGGGCTACACAAGCAGTCAGGGTACATGTCACGCTGTGCATCAGCTGGTCTGTCTAGAAGACAGGAGTCACACTGGGCCAGAGATTCTGTAAGCTCTGCAGGGGCAGGCTCAGATGTGGTGGGCGCCAGGCAGCAAGAGCCAGAAATGGTTGTATGCGACAATGGCACCAACCTTCTCTCCACCCATCGACAGGGACACTTTCCACATGTTCCATGCTTGGCACACATCCTGAATTTGGTGGTGCAGCGTTACTTGAACAGGTACACAGGCTTACAAGATCTTCTGAGGCAGGCCAGAAAAGTCTTTGGCCATACACGGGCCAGTGTTCAGCTGGGTGAAATTCAATAGGAATTCAATCTGCCC